ACACACACAGAACGTGGTTTTTATTAAGGAGTCAGAGTTTAATATTTGATCTGGTCTCGTGTGAAACAGCAGAAACACGGCGACACAACAAACGAGGCAACGGCTCAGCCAGAAAACAAAGGTTCATCTTGACTCTGACGATGTACGCCGCTCTGTGAACGATGGAGGGTGGAGGTCTCCATCTGTCAGCAGGCGAACCGGCCGGGCTCCGTTAGCTCAGGAGGAGCAGAGTGGCTGCAGAACTGAGCCGGCTCTTTATCCGAGTACCCCGGAGTACGGGGCGTTGGCCCGGTGTGACGAGTCGTTCGGTCCCTGTAAACCGCAGCCGATTACAACCAGCACCTCCAAATTGGAGGCCATGGTCCTCAATCAGAAATGGGTGAAGGGCGCACTCCAGGTGTGGGACCAGCTGCTGCCCAGGATGGAGGAGTTTAAGTATGTCAGGGTTTTGTTCACGAGTGAGGGGAGGCGAGGGTGTCAGGTGGACTGGGGTCAGCTTCAGCCCTGACTCGGGGTTCCACCTCAGAGCTGGAGGAGGGGGCAGGGGAGAGGGAGGTCCTGTTCGGACTGTTGCCTCCATCATTTGGGCGGAGATAAGTGGCATGGTTAACTGTCTAGCGTCCAGCAGGGGGCGACTGCTCGGGTTGTGGATGAAGTCTGATTGGGTGGATGTGAGGAAACGAGCCTCCTGATGAGTTTCTTGCTCAGATGCTGTTTCAGGTGAGACCGAACAAAGCTTATTGTGGAGGTGACGTTCTGATCAGAGGAGCAGGGTTAGGGCGGGGCTACACCGAGCGTCTTCGGTCACACCCGTCACGTCTGGTTTGAGAACACAAAGCTGAAGAAAACGCCGGCTGGAGGCTTCGTTTCTGTGACGCGTTCTCCTGAAGCTTCAGTAAAGCTTTTCTCAAAGAAGCAGACTTGAGAGAAAAAATGGCCTAAATGACAGAGAAGAACGAAAAACATCAGTTCAGGTGTTCAGGCTCCACACAGCCCTGACCTTTAACCTCTCTCAACACTGGTCAGTCACACCAAGACAATAAAACACGGCATAGCTTCAGCGTCTCAAACACGAAGCCCTAAATCTGCATTGTTTCTAATGGCCAGCAGGGGGCGATCCAAGACCTCATCTGAGCTCAAAAAGATTCTTTCTGTTAAACTGGTGTCATCATGTGTTGCCACCAGAGGGCGCTCTCTACAGCTCAAGCATCCAGCTGGGCTCAGCAAGCTGATAGGTGTGTGTGTGTGTGTGTGTGTGTGTGTGTGTGTGTGTGTGTGTGTGCTGACACAAAAGCCTGGATTAGTCACATGTTTTCTGTGTGTGGGACAGTGAGATGCGCTCTGGGTAATAAATAACCAGGAGCTGCAGCGGGATGCCACCGCCGCTAACCTTCAGTGTCAGGAAACTGCTGAGAGGCCACCTGGGCCTGCCAGCTGCATGCGTGTGTGTTTGTGTGTTAGTAATGTTGCGTGGACACAAACCAATAAAACAACAGCAAGTTGGAGTGAGGTCAGCCAGTTCAGGTTTAAAGTTTGATCAGACGTTCAGCTCTGTGAGGACGTAGAGTCCTGAGGTTCAGTCAGGTCGTCACATGACTGTTAGAGGGCTCTGATTGGGTTTCAGGGTCACACAAATGTTTGACATGGTGATACACACATGCATATGTGTGTGAAGATGAGGAGTGTGTGTGTGCCTGCTATGAATACACACCAACAGGCCACAGGAAGGATGCCCTCCTGTGTCCGAAACACAGAGTTCAAAGGTCACACGTTGTGTTTTTGTGTTCCAGTGATCTCACCGCGTTTCCAGCATGTAACCTCACACACATGCAGAAACTACATGAAGCAGTGGCTGTTGTGGGCGGGGCCAGTTGTTATTCGTGTGAAATTATGTGACTCGGTGGTCGTGTGGGGAGCGAGCGTCTTGGAGAGCTGCGCTGAATAAACTCGATTAGACCGATGATTTAACTGAGAGCGCCGGCTGTTACCAGCAGCACAGTAGCTGGTCAGCAGCTCATCCATCCACAGCATGACGAAGGTCACCGCAAACGAGTCACATCATCTTCATCATCTTCACAGCTCTCGCAGCACGAAGGCAGCATCAGCTCGCAGCGAAGTGTGAGGAATGAGCCCGAGGAGCTGCTGCACCC